TCGGGGGGAGGTGCTCCTGCGCGGGGGCGCGATTTGGCGCATTCCGGAGGAATGGTGTTGGAAGCCGGTGTCCTGCCGGCCGAGCTGCGCGGCGCTGTGCCGAGGAGGAAGCTTGGCCTTGGCCTGAGTTTCAGCACCCAGCGGCTGGAACCGTTTCGTGCCTGCTGCTTGACACAGAGACCCTTTGTCTAGGGACGTAGCTTCATTTGTAAGTTGATAGCTGGGTGGCAAAAACCAGCACTGCACAAAGTATCTTTGTCTCTGAGCCAGAAACACATCCTGGCATGGCTAAGTGGTACTTTATATAGCCCATACATTCACAAAGGTGGAAAAAACAGAAGGGACTCGACTAAATTGCTGCTGAAAAATCTGTAGTAAAATAGAAGCAGAAATGCAAAATAACCAGTACTGAAGTATGGTGTACAGAGTGTATAGATAACAGACAATGGTGGCAGTATCTCCATCATGTTTCATTCTTGGTAGAGAAGTTGTTTTGTGGTGGTATTTCAGTCTCTATGTCAGTAGTTCAGTTGGAAGTGTACTGGACTGAAATGTATGTCATTTAAGGCCAACCAGTGTGGCCTTGCACATGGAACTTAAAGTAGTCTTTATCAAAAGCTGTAGCATGAACACAGATTGCTGGGACTCTTAATCAAGAGTCTTTAGTGAATGCAGCAATGTGGATTTGGAAACAGTTACATTCTGGTATTTGTCATGTTTTTCCGACTCTCTCACACTGTACTATAAAATTCTTAACCTTGATTACAGTAATTGCAACTGTAGCACTAGTGAGAACAGTGCAGTCTTGGGCACAGACTATCTTGGCAATGGGCAGACCATCTTGGATGTGCTTGGTTTTGACTTTGATGTTGATTCACTTTGCAGTTGTGTGAGGATTGTTGTATGCATAGGCCGTCTTTTTGAGTATGGATTTTTTTTTTAATAGCTCAGGTATAAAGAGCTTAATATTCATGTCAGTGTGTTCTGATGTCTTTCTTTTAAGCATAATAGTTTTTTTGGTAGTGACCAGAAAAAAATCTAGAACAGAAAAAGCCTGGTATATGAGATAATTAAACTGAGAAACTGAAGTGACACTTGCCAGAAGTTTGTCACTCAAGAATTGGGCTTACTGGAATTGGGAAGGCTCTTATTCATTTTTGTTCATTGTAGAGATTAAGAATTGGGATTTGCTGGATAGTCATTAGTTGGACCTCTCGTTTATATTTCAAGTCACTAATTTCAGGTGTCTTTACATTAAGCCTAGGTTTTGGGCTAGAGCAAAACAGTATCTTAGTAAGTATCTCTTTAGTGTCTCCTCGTTTAGTAAAGATGAGTAGCAGAGCATATGATGAGGAATGCCTTCAGTCAAAGTAGACGTGTTCATGGCTTCTAAGAACAAACACGTAACAAGCAAACAAGGAGCCCTGTAGGGAAAATTATTTCTTCAGTTTGAAGAGCACAGCTCCTTTGCTCTCCACATGAGAGATGCAGAAATGGAACATTTGTAAAGGGGATTTTCTGTATCATCCTGGAGCACTTTATTCCACTGTGGCCTGTCTTCTGTATTGGTATAATCACTTTACACCCAATTTTTTAAGGTCTTGTTAATTTACAGGTCATTTGAAAAAAAGTCTCAGATGAAATCGGATTGGCGTCTTACTAGGCTTCCTATTGTTTGCAGTCGAATCATGTATAGCTGTACCTATAATACAGAGCATGTTTGTGCCATGTGGTGAATTGTATTGCAGACACAGCCTGTACTGACACCTGTCGATAAGTATAAATCCACGTGCTTCTGGCTACTTGGAGATGTTAGCTTAGGTCTTGAAAGCAGCACAGCTGTGTTGGTGGCGCACCTGTTGTAAGTCTTGCCTCTGTGAGATTTGTGGGTGTGAGCACAGTGCCACGATAACTTGCTATATGATTTCTGGTTCTAGAGCTAGTATAGGATTTTGTTTCAGTGACAGTCCTTATATATACTCTTCTCTTTCCCAGGAGACTCTATAAAAAAAATCCCTCAGAAACCACTAGCTATCCCTGTTCAGTCTTGCTTATTCCTTCCATTTCATATTCATTATAAACTTACAGTTACTGTCACCCTAATTACCTTCTACCTGAATGTTTGGTGTGTTCTGTGTTTTATTCCCCACTGGATCTTCCTTGCTACTCAGAACCAAACCTAAAATGAGCTATTTCCCTAGGGAAAAAGTCACCTGGTTTTGGGGAGGGGGAAGCTGTTACTTACACCCGTCAAGAATTTGATAGGGAATTCCTTCTGCTGCCTTATAGGCGGCTAAAAACTTTGGTCTTCCTTTAGAGTTCATTCAGAATGACGTGTCTGTTTCCTGCTTTGGTGGCTAGAGCACCTAAGGACAATTTATCATTACATCGTCCTCTGCCTTAACTGTGTTATAGTGGTATGTATATATACCTCTGTATGTGTCCGTAAAGTATATATGAAAATATATAGAGAGAGCAAGACTTGTTCTCTCTCCTCCAAACCCACTTCTTCCACAGTTGAGTGTTTCACCTGAAACACTTAAGATTAATCTTGAAATTTATTTCAGTCAGGCTGAAGTGGTTTAGTTTCTTAATGTGAAGTAGCTGGAACTTTGGCTAATGAAACTTTTTGTATTTTACTTCAGTGAGAAGATGTAGCTGTCCTCCAGAAATTGTTACTACCAGTAATTGCTTTTTTGTTCTTCAGTTTTCAAGAACTGATTTGTGTAGATGATTGTTCTTGGACAACCAAAGGATTGGGAAAATGGAACTTTTGGGACAATTGTAATGTCTAATGGTCATCAGTACCTCTATCAAATGTCTTTTGAAATATGAATCAATTTTTGTGTTTCAATGCACATACTTCTTTGCAGACTTATGGAACCTGTTTATGATTAGTAAAATTTGGCTACTGTTGTATGTGGTGTTAAATCCAATTTACACACAGCCTGCAAACTGGTACGAGCTCTACTGACTGGGTAATGCGTGAACTAAGTTAAGTTGCTTTGAACTTTGTAGGGTAAAAAGAGCATGCTAAACTTGTCCTGTGTTTGTCAGTCTAGATTGCAGTTGTGCATTGGTCATTGAAATAAACTGTTTAAGAAGTGGTCTCTCAGCATCTGCCTCCTTCAGCTTCTAGATCAAAGGGGAGTCTTCTAGTCAATGCCTTGCAGCTGATAAGGTTTACAAGCAGTGGCTCATCATTGTTCTAATACCGCTCTTATAATTTTTGAACTGGAATTAGGTTGGATCCATTCAGCTGAAAGTACAGATGGAGCAAGTATTTTTTTGCTTTTATTTCTTGGTAGACATATTCCAGTCAAACCAGAAGAGTAATGGTGATCACCAGCAAAAGGAGCAAATGATTGCTGTCTTTACACTTAGAAAAATGAAGAAGCAGATACACGTAGCAAATTAGCACTGTTGTCTGCATTTTTATTTTTCGAAATTGTTCATATTGCTCTGTGCTCTCAGGAGTACTATTGCTACTTCCTTTTGATTTTAGTGTAGCTAATTTTTTTTTTTTTATTGCAGACATTAAAGAATTTTTGACCAATTTTTCCTGTGTGAAAACTCTTCCAAAGTATCAAGTTTGAAAATGGATTTGAGAATATTGCTTTTGTAGATGCTTGATGTTGTTACTGTGGTGATACTGGTAGTCTTCATCAGAACAGTTTTGGCGTACTAGGTTAACCTATATATACACTGCATATGATAGATACTCAAAAGCAGTATCTTTAAAACCAATATTCTTTTCTAGCTAGATGTGAAATACTACTTTACAACCTTACATGGGGTCAGTACTTAAATGCACCTTGTGTATATACACTTTTCTAGCTGAATTTGCTCATACAGTCAAACTATAGATTGAGATATAAGAACAAATACCTGCCACCAGGATTATGTTGGCAAGAGATGAGGCTGTGGGTATATCTACTCCAGGGGCTTTGGTTTGTGTCGATGGAAACCACCTTCCACTACCACCAAAATCATATGCTAGGAGGATTTTCTGCCAAGTGCCCTTCCAGAGTGCCTTCCCTAAGCTGATAAAAGCAGGTTTGTCGTCATGTTTGTATTAGTGATCTAGTCTGGGTTTCTCCGCTGTGCTAGCAAAACCACGACTGAAGCTTAGACGCAGTGTATTCTGCTAGTGTGTGAAAGATTAAATGCTGTGTTTTTTCATACTCAACGTGTAGTGTATGGAACATAACTTTTTTTTTCCTGTTCTTTTCCAGTTTAGGTCTAATATCAGATTCTTTTCATATGTTTTTTGACTGTACTGCTCTATTGGCTGGATTAGCAGCTTCAGTTATTTCAAAATGGAGGTCAAACGATGCTTTCTCATATGGGTAAGAAACTTCAGGCTGTTATCTTAATGTATTTTAGTAAATGTCAAGGTATTTTTCACTTAATTTTTCACTGTATGAACAAAACCTCTTTTTGCAGAGCATGGAAAAGCTATGTTGAATGTTTGGGTTTTTAAGGTTAAGTAAACCTTCAAGTTAATGTTCCCCCCAGAAATAGTAAAAATGTGAGGCATTGCTTTTGGGGAGCAGGTGTGTCACTTCCAAGATCTCTGTGATCATACTAGTGGAAACAAGCAGAAAGTTGCCCTGCATTGCCGTGTGTTAATGGCACCAGCGAAGTAAGAGCAGCTGCAGCATGGGTTTGTCCTCAGAGCACAACGAGGTGCCTTGCAGGGAATCTCAGACTGCTGGTGCCCCTTGCCTTCTTTGGAACAGAAGGTTACACCTGAAAGGAGCTAAGTCTCAGTGATGCTGCACCTGAGATTATAAACCATGCTTCTCGGGACCAGCAGGATTCAAGAGCTGTGGCTGCCATTAACACAGAGGTACGTCATCCCATCCCCACCCTTCGTGGGTGGTATGCAGCTGCAGCCCTGCAGCTGGTTCTGTTTCAAGGGCACTTGGTTCCACTGCACGTTGCAGTTGTGTCCTGTGCTGGTGGTACAGTATTATTAATAGGTGATACTGACTAATTAACAGCAAATGAGCTGTAACATTGCTGCATTCCCCGTAGCATTACTGACCTGAATGTCAGCATGTAGCTTCAGCTGTCTTGCCTACGCGTGGATCCTGTAGTTTGAAACTAAAGCACTGTTTAATTAAGGTGGAAACTCCAGTGTGCCGAGAAATCAGTTTAGAAAGAATTGATTGTACCATGAACTAATTGTAATGAAAGCAGGTTCTGTATTAATTGCTGCTCTGCACTTCAACAGCTGGTGTTCCATTTATTAAAGAACAGCCACCATTTATTAAGTCTGACGTTTGCTAGATTGGGATTACATGTTCTAACCTGGCTGGTTTTTATTGGAGAAACTTAGTAGCTGAAATAATTAATTCCTACTTGAAACTTTTACTAAAAATCCCTCTACTAGAGGGGGAGCAAATTAATGTATGGCTGTTTGATATTGAACAGAACTTTGCATAGCAGACTTTGATTACATCTTGCATGCTTGTCTTATTTTGTGGTTTCCAAATATGCATTTATACAATAGCTGCCAGTAGAGATGATCTTAAATGGGAAGATTTTGGCATATTGAAAGTTTTCTTTCATCTAGAACAGGTAACGGCGAATCTAGATCAGGTAATCTATGTTGAAGTATAACATAGTGAATTTCGTGTACTTATCTGCAGTTTATGTACTGCATCTTCCATTTAGCAGATCCCTGTGTAATACAACTGGTTTGAGTACTAGAAGATTGTGTTCCAGTCTCTAAGTTCCACTTTAATTTTCAGCATTTTTATGGAGGTGGTAATATCTGCTATTGCTTTTTTGTTTCTTCCAGGTATGTTAGAGCAGAAGTACTTGCTGGTTTTGTAAATGGTTTATTCCTCATCTTTACGGCATTCTTCATTTTTTCTGAAGGTGTTGAGGTATGTTATGAAGCCGATTGCACCATCAGTTGTCACATTTCTAATAGTAGAGCATATTTAATGGGGATAAAATTATTGAAATTGATTATGTTTGTAATTGATTAAAAATCAGTGATTTGAACAGAGAATAGGGCCGTATAAAATTTCTGGTTTGTGACACAGAAACCCAGCCTTTTCAGTGTAGCTACATATAGTAGTATTTTGATTGTGTGTAAAGATTGTGAAATTTACCCTGTCCTTTTTTCAGCCAGTTAAGCATGTCATAGAAAGATTTTTACTTCTCATTGTTAAAGGACAAATGAGGCCAAGAAGAAAGGCCAAAACAAAACTAGTCATTCAGAGGAGAGAAGTTAGTCATAAGAAACAGAAATACAAGAAGTTGTACTAACTCATTAAAGAAAGAGCATTATCTTCCAAATCTTGAAATGTGATATAAATGGCAAATAATAATAGCACCTTTGTAAATGTTAAAGCTTTTCTTGAATTTTTTTTTTACGAGATGGTTGAGGAGATAATTTCAAGATTAGAATTTAGACATCAAGGATGTCTGCACTGAAGTGAGTTTAGGATTAAGAGTAAAATTGATAACTGATTCTGATCAGCTTGCATTAATGCTTTTACTTTTTAATGAGAGATGCACTATAATTTTATTTAGACTTCTAGTTCAGAATACATTCTAGTTGTTTTTTTTTAATTAGTAGAGAAGTGGGAAGAGCTTTTGGGAACACATCCTCTACATAGATAAGCCTGTAAATACTTCCAAACCAGTACAAACTGGGCTGAAATTTCCTAAAAGCCTGAGAAAACTGCACTCCAAATCTAGAAACAGCAACAAAACGTATTAGAAAAACTAAAAACTACTGCTGGAAGGGTCAAGGGTAATGTTGAAACATCATTCTTGTCCTGCTGGTCTTAGCTCCCATGCTAAGGACTCCCATTGCTTGTAATGGTGACTCCTTTTCACTCTGTCACTTCAAAATTTTACATCTGTTGAAAGTTTCATTATCTTGCTATTGCCTGTACGTTTCATCCCTGTGGACAGATGGTGAATGTTTCTCTCCCTTCTCAATAGTAATTTGTACTCTTCAATACTTAGCTTCAGATGCAAATTATGTTAGCCCTATATTGTCTCATTGAAAAAAAAACTTCCAAAGAAAGGGTAAAAAAAGAATTAAGAAAAAATCAATCTAGATTTTAGAAGTTTTAAAAAATGGCACAATTTGTTTTCAGTCTTCATTTCATTCCCTTCATCTCCTCACCCTTCTAAGGAGAAAGGACATTCTAGAATCTTGGAAGGTGTTTGGATGACTTGGGTAATCCATATACTACAACAAACTTGAGTGTTTTCATATGGTGTTGAGCCACATCCCACAGCATAATGAAATCTTATGATGAAAGTCAGCTAGACTATCTGAATCTTCTACTATACTTTCACAGCTTTAGTAATAAAACTTCAACTTCAGACAGGAAGAATTAATCTGTGTACCATCCCAAAAGCTGAAAGTCCTGAGTAATTTCTAATTATGTCTTTATATATGCCTGTTTGTATTACAATGATCCTGTATCTAAGCAGTTTTTTCAGTGCCTTTTAAGAAGATTGTAAAACTCTACATTTGCTTCTTGGTTTCTTGTTTTGGGTTTGTTTGTTTTGTTTTGTTTTTCAGAGAGCACTTGAGCCTCCTGATGTGCATCATGAGAGACTTCTTCCTGTTTCTATACTAGGATTCATTGTAAATCTTATAGGAATATTTGTTTTTCAACATGGAGGTCATGGGCATTCGCATGGCTCGGGTAGGATGTCTATAATATCCAGTACAGTTTCCTTTCCTGGCACCCTGTGTTCCAGAACCTTGCAATCCTCCAATGAAAACACCAGTATTAGATTTCACTGTCTTTTTAGTGGCAATCCTAGCCAAATGTATGTGTGACTTGTTGCAATATTGACTTTTATGTTTTATCACTAGCAGTAGTATGTCACTACCGTACTTATGCTAATATCCATTAACTGGAAGACCTAGAACTCCAGAATCTGCTTTCTGGAACAGGCACTCTTCTGCACCTTGTTGGAAGAGACTTGCAGAGTGTCTTTTGCACAAAATTAAGCTGGAATTAAACAATGTCTTGGCTGGAAAATTTACAAAACAGTGTCTGAACCAAATTTTAAGTATGGGATGATTCAGCTTCAGGTGCTTCTCCACTTAGTGTCTTTTGAATTTAAATGCAGACTTTATTTGCCTAAATATATATGGTAAACTTTTTTTTTTCTGCAAACCTAATTGGTATCTCTTTCAGCTTAACATATAGACTGATATAGACTGGTGGAAGAAAATAGTCTTTGGTCTTTCAGCAGCAATTTAAGCTTGATTTTTTAATGTGTGACAATTTCTGGTTTCTTAAAACAGCTATGTTCAATGTGCTTGTATCTAATTATGTGTACATTTTTCAAGTTGTACTGAAAATGTACCACAACTTGTCTCAGAAGTGGGAGTGCATAAAAGCACTTGACTTCTCATCAGGTATAGCTTTTATATGGCTGGCTGCACAGCATAGATTTATATGACAAACAGCTAGTCTTAATTTTTGTGACTTATTTAAAGCCATATCTTAAGATGACCTAAAAGATGAATAGGTTTCAAGTAGCTTGGAAACAAATGTAAGCATACTTTTATTGAATACTTAAATTTATACTCTGATGGTGATATTTGTTTATAGGGCATGAACACAGCCATTCTCTATTTAATGGTGGTCTCAGTCACCATGGACACAGTCATGGAGGTCATGGTCACAGCCATGAACATAAACATGGCCATGGACACACTCATAATCACGGCCATAGCCATGGACACTCTCACGGTCAAGATTACTGTCATGGTAAGTACTTAGGTAATGTCATAGAACATCTTGACTCAATTCAGATTTGCTATTAATGATTTTCTGAAAAGAAAAAAGGAGAGCGTTCTGGCAGCTTGTTGTGAGCATACAGGGAAATAGTTTCACTAAATATGTGGTATGCTATGCCACCACCATGCTTTGTGGCTCATTTTGGTAAATGCTGTTTCACTTGCAGTAAGTTCAGTGTTTGTTTTTAAAGGTTTTGCTTTACCTATATTTTTTTTTGAACGTTCACCGTAATGTTGTTTGTTGGCAAAAGATAAAACAGATGTATGCTATAGCAATATAATGAAATTAGTTATCAAGCGCTCTGTTTCAATTTTTTATTAAAGTCAATAGACAAATTTAAGCTGCTTTGGTAGTGTTCTCTATTAGAATAATTTTACAGATTAAGATATTATGAAAGATGAACAAGCAATTTTACTTTGGGCACTTAGGGACTGATATGTCATACTTGGTTTGTGATTTCAAATAAAAGATTTTCCCTGTCTTGTGTAGTTGTAATCTGTTTTAAAGATGGTTATGAAAAAGGTACTTCGTGTCTTAGCTATGCTTAAATCTTTTCTATAAAGGCAAGCAATCTGTGAAGAGACATCCATGCAAAATGTGATTAGTAGCCTTCACTATGGGAGAAGATACACTGTGATTACTACCTATTTGAAACAATGCAAATGAAAGACTTACTGTGATGCAGGGTTGTCAGTCCTTCCTGCCTAAGCCATAAACTAGAATCTGATGTGGCTGAAAATGTGCACATTCAGAGTGGGGAATAGTTTGGTAACTTGCAGACAGGAGGTGACAAGGAGTATAAATATATGTAAATATATATTTATATTTATTCCTTGCCATTTTTAGTAGAAAATTGGTGCTTGTTTTCCAAGTGTTCTGCTGGAGTTTGATTGGAAAGCAGGAGCACCTTCCTCCTGCCTCTTCCTTGCTCTCCTCATGCCCCCCACCCCAGTGGAATAGCAAATATAGCTATCTGGTTTGTGCAATTTGATAATCAACTTTTGCATAAATTATTATGTATCTTCACTAGAAGTAATTTGCTATCCTTTTAATAAGTTTTTCATAAAATATATGTCTGATGTGTTCCACAGAGGCATTCATCTGCTTGGATGAGAGGATTTTTTTACTTAGTTCAAACTTTTCTAAGTCTCAACCTTGTTGTTTTACATTAAGTATTAATATTTCTGGTTAGCAAATACTCTTCTTGCTTGTGTGTATGGCTTGTATTCTTGAGAGGGCCTTATTTTGCTAAATACTAGAAAGGTCTTATTTCTCAATTTGTTTTCCTTAAAAAAATGTTGATCTTTTAGTTTTTATATATAAAATCTGTTGGATGAAGTGGTATTTTCTATTAAAAAATATGTGGGTTAAGACTTCTAACTTAATTGCTGCATTGAAAAACAATAGCTAGAGTAAAAGCTAGTCATTGTGAGTAGCTTGTCTGTTCAAGAAATTTCATAAAGGAAGACCATAACAGGATATACCACTAGAGAGAGCCCTTGTGTAGCTTAATATGCTAATAATTGTCTTCACAGATGACCATTCTCTTGAAGGGATGGCTGGATCCAGCAAACAGATTTTACAAGGTATGATGAGAAAAAGTACAGTGGTTTGTTGTTTTTATCATGGTCTGCCTGCCTGTGACTGTCACACATCTGTCTAGAGGGTGCCTCTGGGTAGCGTTTGCTGCATTTTGCTTGGAGGAGCTATTTTGTGAAGTCCCCTTCCACTTGTAAACAGAGCAATGCCGTACCCTGTTTAGGGCTAGGGGCTGAGACATTCACTGAAGTCTAAATGTAATACAGTGTCAATACAGTAGAAAAGGGAGATCCCAAAAGCTGGGATTCAGCTTCTGCTACTGGTGCTGAAAAATCGAATAATAAAAATCTAGGAAAGAGAAAATCTGGTTAAAAGCAGAAACCTAAGGAGCCTAATTGCAATGTATGCTCTGGAAAGTGAAAAACAATATTATTAAGATAGAATGTATTTGAAAAATGCAGATTGATATAATTGTTAAAGGGTACTGGAGCTTAAAACTTGCATTTCATCAAGCTATTACAGTTGGTTTAGACAAGGTGCTAATTCACTCTAAATTGTTTGAAAGGGTATTGGCGTCTATGATCTCCTGAGCATTGGTGTAAATAAATTACTCATGATTTAGATGTCAGTTTTGAGCTTTGATTAATTTTTTAAGTGTTCAAAAGTTAGAGGGAGAAAAATAATGGAAGAGATAGTAGTTATTTGGCATACTAAAATGTACATACTGTCTTCTCATATTGGATGACTTTCTAACTTGTTTGTAGTCCTTGAAAAGGAATGTTTTCAGCTTCTTTGAGAACTTGTAGTATACTGTATTACATCTATGTATACTCAGTACTTCAGTAGAAGATATTTGAAAGTCAGTCCTTTCATGAAAGGCACATTTTAATTGAAGCATATTAAAAAGACTCAATTTTATATAATTTTATTTTAATTTTTCAATACTGTGGTGGGTTCACTCTGGCCAGCACCAAAACACCCAGCAGCTGCTCACTCACTCCTGCAGGGGGACAGGGAAGAAAATTAGAAGAGTAAAAGCAAGAACTACTCTTGGATTGAGATAAAGACAGTTTAGTACATGAAGAGGAAAAAAAACAACACCCCACCCAAGTGATGCAAAGACAATCACTCACTGCCTCCCACCAGCACAGCAATTCCCGGGAAGTCTCTGAGCAACAGCTACTTTGGAAAGACAACACCCTAGTTCTGTTGCTGACTGTGATGTTATATGGTATGGAATATCCCTGCAGTCAGTTTGGATCAGCTGTCCTGGCCGTGTGTGCTCCCAGCTTCTTGCCCACCCCAGCTTACTTGCTGTGGGGGCAGAGTGACAAACAAAAGCTTGATGCTGTGTGAGCACTGTTTGGCAGTAGCTAAAACATTGCTGTGTTATCAACATAGTTTTAGTCACAAATGTGAAATACAACATCACGCAAACTGCTGTGAAGAAAATGAAATCTATCCCAGTCAGACCCAGTACAAATGTAGATTTGGGAAAATCACTGAAGAGCTGATTTACAGCTGTGCGCTGTTTTTGTGAGGAGGGATTATCTGAAATTGTTTCTGAATGACTGTTCCCATTACTGCCAGCAGAGAGCTCCAGAGGCTAAATTTTAGCTAACTGCAAAGTGTTTCTTTGTCTTTTAAGGTACTATGTTATTCTTCAAAATAAGAGTGAAGTTGTTTGTGTCTGCAGTATTTAATTCTCAAAATCACTTGTCTGTGATTTCTTTGCCAAATAAGTTCTACAAGATATTGTCAATGAAACATAAGTGTCTTTCAAAGCTTTACAGAGCTGTTTCTGTTAACTGTCCATCTTATACAGTGCTTATCTTTGTCTGTAGGCATCAGGGAACATGAGTTTCCTTGTTGTAATATGGGCGGGTATTGAATGAAAAAAAAATTACATACATCTGTTAATCAGTGCTTAAGTTGATAGCCATGCCATGAAATACCTCTTACTGCTAAGTGCAGAAAAAAATGTAAGTTCTTCAAATGCTCTATATACTAGAAACACATTGACCACAAATTTAACAAGCGTAAATCGTGTTACCTAGTTCTTGCAACTCTTCTGTGTAAACTGTCTTTGAAATACTCTTATTAGCTTCAAGAATACCAAGTTGTAATGATATCAATTAATCCCTTACAGGTGTATTTCTACATATTGTTGCGGACACACTGGGAAGTATTGGTGTAATCATATCTGCTATATTGATGCAGAACTATGGTCTAATGATAGCAGATCCTATTTGTTCAATGCTTATAGCCCTACTTATAGGTGTAAGGTAAGCATTGCTTTCACTGATATTTGGTAGTATTTTTGATGCTCGTTACAGACAAATTACAGCTCAGAAGAAAAGGTTTGCCTGTTATGCTAATGACTTAGGACGTTTGCGTTTCTTCCAAGAGTGATACGTTACCTTTGTTCTGTACAGCCGTTCTGGTGTGCTCTTACATGAGCTGTCTTTCTTTTGTTTTTTTCTCCAGCTACGGCTTTTGCTCTTAAATCTGCACATCTTACCTGTTTGCATAATACTACAAAAATGTCTTTCAGGTTCAAACTGTAGAAAGCTTCCTCTCTGTATTTAGTACCTGCTTATATAAACCAATGTACTCCAGTAAATGGAGCAGAATGGCTTCAGGGCAGCAGAGTTGAGCCTGCTGGCACAGGATGTGCCCTTGTCCTTGACAAATCAAGGCGCTTTTTTTTTTTTTTTCCTGGCGAGAACTGTCTTTTCCTTTGCATTTATATTCTGAGAAGTCCGTATTCCTTTTAGGATCTGATGGAAATGCTTCAAGTAGTTCTGGGCTTTCACAGTTGTTGCTTACCAAGATCACTGTAAACGTTGAAGCTATTTAGATTAGACGGGACAAGCAAACATTTCATTCAGTGATGCTGTTATTGAGGCTTTTTTGGCAGCAGTTTCAATGCTGGCGTAGGGCAGAGTGCCACAACTGCAGTTACAACCTAATAACTGAACACCCTTGTCCCTTCAGCAGTGGTGAATGTCATCTGATTAACTACAGCTGCTTATGCTTATACCATATATGGCATGTTTATACCATACGCATGGCAGCATTCACGGAATTATTGATGTGAATCTCCCTATTTATCAGAGTAGGGCAACATCCTTCAGGCACTACATGCCCACAGAAATCTGTGTGCTGGAGATTGCTATTAAATTACCACTTTAAACATAATCTTTTGATTCAAACCTCTTGTAATTTCATAAAGGACAAATTATTACAAACTAATTCTATTACTGAAATCTCAAAAAATGGGAAAGAAAATGTGCAGGTTACCAAGGGGAAAGAAACTATTACTGAGGTAACAGCTGAGTAAAACCACAGGTTTCTATACATTTTGTATTTTAAGGGTCTATCTTTGTGTACAGCAAAGCATATGTGGAGCACTGATCAGGAAATACCACATGAATGAGAATTTTTTTTTCTTCCATTCATACAGAGGCTGGAAGAATACTTTCCATAATAGAGTTTTCATAATAAAGCTCTTCATAGGTCTTCTAGCACAGTTAGGAGGAACGTCTGAGGTCCACGTTCTATGCTGAAAATGCTGAAGTTCGCTGTTTGATGTGTCGTTTGATACCAGAGCTCAGCCTGTAACATTGTTTTGTTGGTCCATGATGCTATAAATGATCTCTGGAATCGTTGTCCTAACTGAGCGCAGTCAGCTGCATCGCAGTACAAGCAAGCCGGCGTTTCTTGCAGACTGACGTGTCCTGGCACAGCAGTGGAGCAAACACTAATTGCAGGGTTTGGGGTTTTTTTAATTTGTTTTTTTCTAAGCAGTCCAACAGACTTAACTACTGATGGCTTTGCTTGAAATGCACTTAAACAAGATCATAAACAAGATGACTGGCAATTTCGGATGGATATTGTTTGAGAGTTTGAGTCCTCTTTGTGTTGTTTGACTTCAGTAATCTTCACTTACACTTCTGGACATAAAACCATTGTTTCTTTATGCCTTATTCTTCACTATGCTGTGTGTATGATGTGCTTATCTAGAATTAATGCAAAAGGTTTTTCAGATTTTCCCATCAGGTGATCTTTTCTAACAGTAATACCGGGACCCAGCTGATGATTTCTAGCATATGTAATAGTTTGGTCCTTATCTTTTGATTCAAGTCACCTACATCTAACCTAGATAAAAGATTATACTGAAATTTTGTGACATTTAAAATTTGAGGGGAAAAACAGTCTTTTCAAAAATATCTTAAACTGATAATAGCAAGAGTCGTGTCTAGTTTTTTTAAATTGTCTGTTTGCTGATGGGGTGCATGTGGGTTTGAGGTGGGGAGGAGAGGGATGTTCAATATCTAGTACAGGGATTTCTGGCCACTTCTGTGGTCCTGTTTGCAACCTTGATAAATAACTTTTTTGGGGGATTTGGCTTTAGACTAAATAGTTGTCTGCTGTTTCAGAGGAATACTTGTCAATTTTTCTTGTGTGGAGTAGCCCACTCATGTCCCTTTTACTAGTTAAACCAACTTTGCTAAGGTGCAGCAGGATAAGAGAACGTGTGTACCCCAGTGAGTGGACCCATGCGTGTGCGTTGAAAAATCAGGATTTGTTCTTTGTGGTTGTAATAAAGCAAGCATAGTTTTGAGTCAGAGATGCAAAAGAGCCAGTCTGATAAAGTTGTCCAAAAGTTTTAATTCTGTCTGGGGACTTTCCCCTAGTTGGGACTGTAAAGCTTTCCTTCTTTCAAATAGGTTTGTGTAAAAGCCCCAAGGTGCTGTCTCTTCTTACAAGAGTACTTTAGCCGATTGGTTTAAATCTAAATAGCAGTGTATTTGATTACTGATTTTCCAGAGTTCTTTTGCATGACTCCACATTTTTGTCATGTTTGTCAGCAGATTTTTTATTTTAATCTATATTCTTTCTGGAATACTTATGTATCCAAAGAGAGAATAAAGGCAGAACACAAATCCTTATTCCCTTCAGTGGAACTATGTCTAACAAGCCAGTAGAATATCAAAGCAGTTGCGTGCAAGTGCAGAGGGGAATGGTTGCTCTTAATCCAAGATTGCTTGTGTCTAGACAAAATAACTGTTCATTTTATGTTGAGTGTTTGCTTCAGTGTTGGGTACCTCTCTCTGATTTACTCGAGTCTTGTCCGCTCCTATTAGTGGGTCTTCTGCTCTGTTCAGTTTTCTGAAGTGATGGCAACAGTTGCCAAAAGAAATCACAAAAATACTTGTATAGGATGACTACAGAATTTATCGTTGCAACATAAAGCTGTACAGCGTCTAATTTGTAACCTATTTTGTCTTGTGCAGAGGCACCAAGGGTTGAGCAACACCTTTTCAGAGAAGTCAAGCACTGCTTTTAATTCAAACGGTTGAGCCTTCCTGTAGACAACATCTCTAATTAGTACAAATTGTCAACTACTGACATGGTTGCTCTGTGTTGCTCCTGTGATCCTTCACTAAGGCTGCTCTAAGGTGACATATTCTCTGCCTAACTTCTCCTGAGTTAGCGCAGAGCATTCTGGCTGCACAGTTAAAATCCAGTATGAGATTCTTCTGAGGTTGTTTTCACTGGCAAATAAATACATTTCTAAGCTTAGTGGAAGCAGAAATCAGGTGGCTCTTACTAGAGAGTTGAGATCAGCTACTTTTGTTTAGTATATTATGACTGTCTAGATCCCAGTAAAAGCCTGTCTTCAGTAGGATTATATAGAAATATTGTTAATACCCATTACATCTCGTGCTTTGAAATCTATATTTTTGGAGGAAGAAAAATTGCCCACATATTACTGTTCTGATATAGAGAGGCAAAGGCATGAAGTCAGATACTTTCCACTTTTCAAACTTCATTATGCTTTTACGTGCTGTAGAAAGTTGTATTTTCTCCGTTTATGTATTTATCTGTTGAGCCTTGACAAGCAGAGGGCTTGGTAGTTTGTGGTTTCTCAATTAGAGGGCTATATCCTGTGATCTTTTAAAATCTCTGCATCATAAATCTATGGCCAATTCTGAAGGGTGAAGTTGGTGTGGGTGAGGGGTTGTAGCTCTCGAGTGTTCCTGGATGCTGCCACTAGTATCTGATGAATATTTCTTTGATTACTTTCTGTACTATCTCATGCAAGTGTCCATTTAATTATAAAGCATAAATAGGACATGCTTAAGGTAGAGGAGTCTGGTTTACTAGCATTTTGTTTGAAGTCTTTTTTTAGAAAAAAGCTTGGCTATGTCATAGTTGTTCAGGTTGACACTCTTCAAGTTTTTTCTAAGGTATTTTCCTCATAATATGCTTGAATCAATAAACAATTTCTCAAGTCTCTAAACTGCTTTTAACATTTGAAGCTAAATGGTTATTTTTTTTTAGTCTTCGGATTCTAAGCCTTTTTCTGAAATGTTGAATCAATTTTAGTATTTCAATCAGCTATGTGAAATTAGTCATCAAGCAAAAGCCACAACTCCAATATAAAGCAAGAAGTTTGTCTGAAACCACTATTAGAGCCACATGTTTCTAGAAAGGCACTGTAGACTAAATATGATACTAGATGGATAGAGCATGCAGACTACATATTAAGTGGTCAAAGGAATGAGGCAATTTACTTCAGTCATTTAGTAAAGTTGTTTCCATGGGTTACATCATTTTTACATAAAGTCCAGAGCTGCTTGAATGTGATCTAATTCGAAAGAGCTTTGGGGGAGGACATGCCTGTAACATTGGGGGTACAAGCCAAAAATGTTTGGGGCATAAAAATATATTAAAAAAAAAAACAAAACCTTTTTCAAATGAAGTGCTGTATTCATGAAGATTCAGAAGGAATGTTCTATAGTAAAACTCCCTCAAACTAGCATGCTTGTCATTGACATTGTTTTGAGCCATCATTGCTAAATGGCATGCACTACCTTTATTTACAGGGTAATGGTACCTGCGAGCCTTGCTTGAGAATCAAAGTACTGCATTATTATGAGAACAGACAATTTAAAATTGGAAAAGTAAATGTTAAGCCTGTGATTCTTGTATTGAGCAAAGCCTGCAGTCTGATTAAAATTGGCATTGCCTAATAGAACAATTTTAATCTGACACTCTTGGTGCTGCGGATGTGAATGGTGGCTGGAAAAAAAAAGATTTTGAAATCTGGCTGTAGATTTTCAGATATGGTATTTGAAGAACCATATCTGGTCTTGAGTCTTAGCAGTGTTTGTTTACTTTCCACAAAATCTGTCACAAGTATCCTCTATTTTCTATAGTGCTGAGAGCACTAAATGAATTTCCGGCTGTGCTCTGACGATGACAACTATGTAAAGGGTTCCTTACTCTGGAGTTGTTTTCAGCCTTGCTGTCCAAGATCATGACAATGCTGGAATCTTGCTAGCTATGGCTCCAAAAACAGTGGCATAAACAGGATGGGAATGGAATGGGTATGAGTATTACCTGAATGTGATGCAAGTTGATTAATAGAGCCTGATGCTTTTGCTCTTCATTGTTAATCAAGCCATATGCAGTAGTAGTGGCAGGCTGGATTTATCAGATTCGTGTCAATGGCTTTTATCTGTGTGAACACCTTTTGCTTCCTCTGTAGCAGTGTATGTGAAAGTGTGATGTGCTGCTAACTCATTAGCCACTTTTACTGTTATGGCTTTTGTAGAGGATATGCTTATGTCCTGAGTCTTGCGGGTTACTGCCTCTTTCAAATTCCATTGTCTTGTAAAAGAGTGTGATATTTTTGATTCATGGCTTGGTAATCAGAGGTGATTGGAAAGTTGTCTGTTTTAGCAGTGAAGCTTGCAGACTGGTTATGCATGACAAAACTCTCCACTTGGTGAGAATTCATCTTTATTTGTTTTCCTCAAAAATCTTTTTGTAAATTAAAAAAAAAAGGGGGGGGGGGGGAAAAACAAGGGGGGGTTTTTTTTTTTTTTTTTTTTTCCAGTGCAATATTTGCTGCAGAGACAACCACATGTATTTTGCACTAATGACTAATCAAAAAAAAAAGGAAAGCTTGGTCAAATTCTCTAACCGCATTTTCAGTCTGCATGGTATCGTCATCTTTCCTAGTGTTTTTCTTCAGTCACATGAGATGGAACTAATATTTCTAGTGCCTCTTGGTGATTTTGTAATACTGGTTTTTTAGGTAGTGTTTGAGAAAAGAGCATATTGTCTGGAGTTTTGGGTTTTAATTGAAGGTTCTGTACTTCAGTAGTATGCATGAAACAATGGAAAATCTGAGACATCAGAGAACTGTATTCTATAATTTGTCATGTAAGTTTGGTTTACAGTAAAAGACTACCTTGTAAGATAGTGTCCCTTTGGATGCAGAGATGCATGCATGGGCGTTTGTTCTCTTACAGCCTTTGTGAGGGCATATCACAAATCTGCAGCTGTCTTGGCCGTTTGAGTTTTGCAAAAGATAAATTTGTAGCTGAACACTGTGTCTAAGATAGAGGAGGAAGGTGTGACCTGGGTTATGCATCAACTTTCACCTACAGTATCAAGCCACATCCTGATTTACCTCTACTCTTTGGACTTTTAAGATGTTGCTGTTTCAGTCACACTCCATGGCTTTAGCTTTTTTTTTGTGAAGTCTGGATAAAAGTATAACTTGTGCAGCATTATTGACAAAAACTTGCACAGGAGGTTTCTTTGTTAAAGCTTTAGTGTGGAGCCATCACAAAAACATGAATAGATGAAATATTGCCAGCTGGAAGACTATCTTTTAAGCTGTACCACCTGTACTAGGAATGGAGTGTCTTTCCCCATTCACCTTTTTGTGTATTAGTTGATTTTGAGCTAATGGTTCCAACATGTGGTGCTTAAAACTGCATCCTATTACCTGGCAAGGAAAGACAGTGCTTGTACACGCCTTGGTGATTGCATATACTTAACCTTGGAAGATCAGTTTCTTAGGCAACAAGGTTTTCAGAATGAAGCAAATATTAATTTTAAATGCATCCTCAGTGGAAGAGCTCTCTAACAGGGGTTTAACTTCCCCTTTTCAATGTGCCTGTTCCAGAATGAATCAACCAGTTTCCCTGACCAAATCCTTTTTTGCAGTGGGTTAACATGCCCAACCTGCTAGTCTTAAATTTCCATAGGCTGTCTTTTCAAATCTCCTACTTGCCAATTCATTTCCATTCCATCAGATAACGTACCTCAGTTTTATCAAATCATGTAAATAAGTTGTGCAAATGAGACATTTTTTGGTTAGATTTCTTTCATGGATTTTTTTTCACTCTTAGTGGTAAGTTCCAATAAAAAGGCAAGCTCCTACATTCTCCATTCCTGTAGTCCTTTCCCTGGGAAAAATACGCAGCCTGTCTGCATGTGTGTTTTGAAGCCTTTGCATGCATGTGTTGGAGGGGCCTTGTTAAATTTATGGGGATGGAGTCAGCGTTCAAAAATCTTGTATTCAGTTTGCATCTTGAACTTGTGTATTGGTCTTTCAAGGTTTTTATTAAGAAGAAAACTTGCATTTTAAATAGTGAGTAAAACTGAAATCAATTCAGCAATGGAGTATTTTGGCAGCTCCAGCTCCCTTTGATGTAATGCCTGTGACATGGACATTATTTAGTGAGATGGGTCCATTGATAAGAGAACCTTTTTCACTAAACTTCTCTAATCCACTGTCTGTAGAATGTGACACTCCAATTAAGCTTCCTTTAGACAGATTGACAGTTACTGCATTGCTAAATGTTTAATTGTCTTGGTGACAGGTCCAGTGTAGGCAACTCCTGCCTCCCCCTAATTGCTTCTTCCTATTTCTGAACCGATTCCTCGGTAGCAATGCAATTGTGTGAGGCCACGTGAGGGAGTGCATCAGGCAGTGCATTTGGCTGGAATAACCAGTGTGCCTGCAAGGAGACTTAATTTTAGGGTGGTTGTTTTTTCCAGAGGTTCATTAGACAAGAGTCATGCACCCTCCAACTCCCTCCCACCCCTGGCTAAGGATTAGCCAAGGAGTGAGCTGAGCAGTCGATCAGCCAGCACTGCTTCCATGTACAAACGGAGCCATTTCTTTAAAAATGGAAAGGAATGGTTACATCACGCTGTTCGCCATCTGGAAATATACAGCTGCTCTATGTGCTGCGTTCTACATCACTTCATGAGATTTTGAGCAAAGCTTCTGTGGTTTCCTTTAACAGACGGTCCAATTAATCTCTTACAAATGTTTCCTGGTTGCTTTTTATCCCATCACTCTACGTACTCCAGCTGTGATGCTGGTGCTGAACACTGAAATTCAGCTTGCAATTTCTGCAGTATATCATCACTTTTGGTCTAGAATGTTAGATGACCTATATGCTTTTGAAATTAGATTGCTATTTAAGTTCCAGTATTGGGCTATAGATATTTGTCATCCTCTTGAAAATTTTAGGATGCTCTACTGAGCCAGACATGATGCACTGCTCCTAAACAAAAAATCACAGTACTGAATACATAAATAAGAGTATAAATTTTTAGTGGTAGCTTCAGGGTATGGGCTTACTGGTCTCCTGGTTTTATTTAATTTTTTTTTTAAAAAAGGAAAGTAATAATAATAATAAAAAAAAGAGTATTAAGTGTCGTCTTAGTTTGCTGATTAAACAAGACCATTTGGCCGGGAGGGAACCCCTAATTGTTTCCAGATGTTTAATCCTTGAGCTTGGATGAGACCCTACACTTAGTTCACTTCAAGAATATGCTAAGTTGTCTGTTTCTGACAAAGTAACTGTTATAGCTGGACTGGTCCATACTAATTCTGTTTTATGATCTCCCCTCTATTATCTTAGTTCATAAGAAAAATATGCCTTAAGCCAAACACAAAAGCAAAAACCATTTCAGTTGCATGTTTTTACAGTTGGTTGTGAGTGATTGCCATTGCAGTAGGTTTTGATTTTGAGCTATACTTACCAGCTGCTTTGTCATGTAACTTTTAAGACACTAAGAGATTTCATCTCAGATCCCACGATTAAACTGTTAATCTTTTGTGACTGTCTACCAGTTGTCTCTGGAAAGTCTAGGGGAGAAGTAATCTTGCCTTTAGTAAGGCGCCATAGCAATTTTGTCAATACTTTTATTTTCTGTACCAGGTTTTCATGGCAACTTTCTCAGCTTCTGGTGAAACAACCAAAGAAAAATGTAGGAGCATTAAGGAATATTATGTTGCTCTTTGTTCTGCGTCTTTTGAAGATATAATAATATGGCTAACTTCCTTTTTTCTTTCTAGTATTGTTCCACTTTTAAAAGAATCCATTGGAATTTTGATGCAGCGAACTCCTCCTTCCCTGGAAAATGCCCTGCCTCAGTGCTACCAGAGGGTGAGCTTTTAGATAATGTTTGCTTCAGATCAAGCTGCTGACTGAATGAGCCTTGACTGTGTGTATGAGGATATTTTGTGAAGTTTTTCCTTTAATGCCTGTGAAAGGTTCCTTAGATTGTACAAATGGAGGTACCAGCTTGATTTTTATCTTTCTGAAGTCCTAAATTGTATGTAGCTTCAACTCAGTTTGTGTTTTAAAACAAGCTATGTTGGTTTAGAAAGATAGATCCTAAAGGTTTTCCTCTCAGACTACTTTGTGCTGATACAAAGTGCATAATGTTTTTCTGTTTTGTTCAGGCTTTTTTCCTCCCTCCAAATCTAGTTCTGTCTAGTAAAGTGAGGTGGGGTAACATTGGAAGTTCATAAGAGGTACATAGACTACTCTGGATTTGCTCTCTCCTGGTATTCCTGTTTAACTATTACTGGGTCATGACCTGAGCAGTTGAAGTGCCCTTGCAAAGTCAATACAAAGCATTGTAGAAGTGCCATCTTTCCTCAGGAAGTTACAGGATTGTAATTGTCATGTGCAGGGTTTGCTAAAATTGGATGGAGGAAAAAGAAGGGTTTTGACAGGACAAACCTAAGCCCTTGCAAAATATTTACAGAAATATTAGTATATTTCTGTTAATAATTAGAATCTTTCACAAATTGTTTTATGGGGAAATTCCTGCATTTGCAGAAATTGCTGGTTTAATTGAATGCCCTCTCAAATTTAGAACTGTGACTTTTCTCTTTTGGACACCACTGTTTTCAGAAATGGTTTCAGTAAAGTATATGTAGGATGTAAATGCAGCAACATACAAAATCATGGCATATACACACAATCTGCAGGTTTTCACCCTCCTTACAAATACTGAGATGGTAACAAGGAATTTAAGTGATATATCACAAATAGCACAGTGAAATAGAAGTAAAAGAATGCATTGAGTTTTATGTTTTCTGTAAAAAAACATAGTACAGATAAACATTTTCTGAAATATATTTTTAAAAAATTGCTTGTATTTTTAGGTGCAGCAGTTGCAAGGTGTTTACAGTTTACATGATCCACACTTCTGGACCCTTTGTACTGATGTTTACATAGGGACTTTGAAATTATTAGTAGCTCCGGATGCCGATGGAAGGTGGATTCTAAGCCAAACTCACAATATTTTTACTCAGGTATGTCTCAGTGTGTTTTGAAAAACTTCTCTGCTCTGCCTGTGTAGAACGATACTCAGTAGCACAGATGGAATTGCTGTACTTCCCTGCATTAGTTCTTGATGCCACTTAATGGAAATAACAGCTAGAGTTTTCTGAGGTGTATCAAATTAAGCTGAAACCCCACATTGACCTATGAGGAAGCAAGAAAATAGATGAGGCTTCCCTCAAGCTGTATCTGGATGTACTTAAGTTTTTCATGGTGCTGATGCTGTATTTGTCATTCATTTCGATACCTCTAAGAATCTATGGTCTTTGCATATTTTGTTGTCTTTTAGTAACATCCAGGCTGTGGTGGTTTCTAGTTAAAACGTAACCATCAGTTATCATGTTGCGTATGACTAGTGTGTTCCCGTTTACTTCCCTACAGGCTACATTTTTTTATATAGATAGTGATGTATTTGATAGCACTTGTAGCTCATATGAAATGCTGGAATTCTCGTGAACAACAGAAACTTTATTTGAAGTTGATAGTTCTTGCCTTAAGATTAAAATCTTATCAGCTAAAGAGTAATATTTTGGAGATATGTAAATTACTGACTTCTCTAAGTCAGTGGGACAGTGAAGAAAGGGGGCTTCTGATCAGGTATATCTGATACTGTAAAGAAAAACAGCTTCTGTCAACAGTTGAATTAGTGCTTGCATAAATGTTCTTTTCAAAGCTTTCTACAGTGGGGAAAGTCTCTGTGTGCTCACATGCACATTCTCTCCCTTGTTCTAAATGTCCTATTGGTGTACTGCATTGGCAGCTTGTGTATGTGATGGCTTAGTGAATCATCTATCCATCTGATAAACATCCCTTTTATTAACTGTTTTATAGCATTTATTAAAAATTGCAGATTGGATTTTTGGTTTGATTTTTTAATGCATCTTGCATACTCTGTTTCTGGACTCTCAGGAGAAACACCACTGAAGCCAACCCTACAATGTGCTGCCTGAGTGCTTGAATTCTTTTGAACTCCTTGAAGTTTAAGGAATTTTAAGTAGTCATGGGGAACCCAATAAAAATAAGCACACCTACATTTTTTGTGTTAGAGATGTAGGGAAGGAGGATTTGTTGTTACAAACATTCTAAAATCAAACTCGAGTCATAAAGTTTGGTCTTTTTTGAGATGTTCCATCACATACAGCTCTAGATTATTGAGAAGGTAGAAATCAGTCTGCGTGGCTTATTCCACAGACTACGCAGTGTGAAGCTAAGGGATATTTTTTGGGAAGGACTATGTGGAACATTCTATTACATTAAAACTAATTTTACATCTCAACTCTCCAAAGGATTGCATTTTCCAAGTGAGTCGCTAGCTCATCAGCTGTTTTGTAGCTGTGCAGGTATCAAGAGCCATGTGTCCAGGAAGGGATTTGGGAGAACAAGGTCTGTAATTTTTCTTAACTGACCTATGGTAATAAGTGGAGGAACAGTTGGAGCAATTAGAGATTTTTCTCCTCAGTAATATTGGCCTTCACTATCTTAATATAATTGATGGTTGGTTTTGCCTCTCAACTGATCTAAAAGCAAGTTGATGATAGTTGAAGACAATGTGAAGACGCTGTCTTTAGCAGTGTTCAGCCTGACACTTCAAGTTGCATAACCACTGACCATCACATTGTTGCTGGCCTGCCACTGAGGTTAAAATGACTAAAATATTTTTTTATACTCTTTTATACTGAACGATGATAAAACTAAGCAAGTCCATCTAAGCCTAGTTTAATAGGATTTCTGAGGAAATGCTTTCTTACAATTCATGTACCTTTACTAGAAGTTGTTTTAATGTGTCATGATATCGTGTAAATTCACTGTAGCCATTGTTGTTTCTTGCTAAAATCTTAGTGTAGAACTGGTTCGAACAACAAATCCCATGTTACGCTCTTGTGCTTAGCTCCATTTTGACCTGACAGCTTTTCAAGTGGCTTGCTTTTCAGTAAATTAAACTTGTACAAAAGAAAGGAAGAATTGCTTTTGTGCAGCTTCACGTGTCAGACTTATTTAAGATGAATCAGAAAAGGTAATGTAGAAAAGCTGATGTCAATGTATAATTACATACGTGCACTTGACTGTTTGGAGCACTATGTATTCGTACAGCGCTCACAAAGTTTGTAGGTTTCCAAATTGCCAGTATCTCAGTGAACAATGTGCTAAATGTGGAAGATGTATTACAGAAAAAATAAGATACTGAGGTTTTTTGCTAGGTAACTTACTGGTGTTCAGGACAGTTAAGTTGCTTTGGCTTTACAGTGGTTTTTTTTTAACTCTTCTCCTTTTTCCCATAGGCAGGAGTAAGACAGCTTTACATACAGATTGATGTCGCAGCCATGTAGTGACTTTCTGAAATTGTGCTGTTGGACCAAAGTTTTCTGTACTGTAATGCTATAACAACATACTTCTCAAGACAGAGCCTGCCTCCATCACTGTTCTGGAATGGACTGAATAGATTTCTGCCCTTGGGCTACAGATGGAGTTCACTTCTAAGGAGTAAATATTGAATGAATGTTACAGACTTTGGGTCTTGTCTTTTTGTGGCCCTTAAAATTGTGAGTTTTGGAGGGTTTTTTACTTAGATTGTGGTACTGGAAACCCTGTCATGTCTTCAGTAAAGCTGCGGAAACCACTGCTCATTCCCATAAAACCAGTGTTATCAACAATTGGAAACTTGTTTTGTAGATAATGTCACAACGGCTGACATGCTTCAGTAGAATTGTATGTTTGTACAATTGTTTGTACTTTGCAAACTTAATGAACCAAACCATATTGGGTTTTCAAAGTGCCTTTTATATCCGGAGAGATATTTGCCAGCATAAATATGGAGCATCAAAGGGTTTTATTACTTTTACAAATATCTTGTATGCAGTCTGATTATTTACTAGTGATGTATGTGGGGGGTGTGTACTTGCATAACTCTAGATGTTAGACTTCCCTTATACTTGGATCTTACCAAACAGACAAGAAAAAAATTCCAAATGTAAAAGGTAAAGCTGTTGTGAAGATCCTTCCTTCCAAAACAAGCTGGATATTTTATTGCACATACCTTGTGGAGATTATTTTAGTCAAAATGTTACATTTGACTCCAATTCTTACTCTCTTCATACTGTTGAAGAGTAAGGAGACGTTACATGATGCTACCCACGTTCATAGTCACTGAAACAACAGGCAGCTGAGGAAAGATGCTGGTGATGGCAGCAACGCTTGAAGTTTTTTATCTTCCAGATTATGTGGCGGGAAAAATTAAGTCCCTAAATCATCTGTGAAAGCTTAAATCCCCTTGATTTTAATAGGTTGTAATAATTTTTATTAAAGTGATTGATGAGAGAACTTTTGCCTTTCCAAATACTGAAAATAGTTGTTCCTGGTGGTTATGCCTGAAATGGAAATAAGGACCATGGTTCATGCTTTTTAAGGTTTATGTTTTTTCCAGGTTGACAAGTCTGGTATTTTTTACTATCTTACTGTAGCCTTGTGTGTTTTCATGGGAAAAAAAATTCTCAGTGCAGTAGGTTGCTTTTTCCAGAAACATTAGTTTGTTGTATTTTTCTACCATTTATAATGATTTTACACTTCCAGATTTGAGCGTTGTTTTCAAAGACAACCTGCTGTCCTGGGTATTACAGATGATAATTCCCCTGTGCTGTAGTAGTTAACTTAGTAATGGAAAATTTTATATGAGGACATTTTACAAACAGAACATTGTGGAGTAAAAAACCAGACAGGCATTTCTTTGATAAATCATAGCCGCTGCTGACTGGTATGGATTTTAGGTATTCTTCCGGTAACTGATATGTGGTAATACTGAAATCAAGACCCTCTGAAGCTGACAATGTCTGTGTGGTAAGTGCTAGGCACTATGAAACTACCGAAGATTCATTTGCAGAAATGGTTTGTCTGCCACCAATGTTGCTGAATTCATGAGAGAGATGAAGAGTTTGTTGCATTCATTTTGTCATTCCTATACAGCACCTGAATGTTGATCTATTTTCATGTGAAAAAACAATTCTTGACAAATTGATAGGTGGTTCCTGAATTTTCCAGTTGAGATAGTGAAACATGAATGTTGATTTTGTACAAAGCTTAGGGCTGTACTCTTTGTGCTCGGATCTGAAAACTGCATTTAAAGAAAAATAGCAGTAAAAAGCCACATATATATTGCTCTTAAGCTTTACAGTCTCTGCCAGTCTTCAGATCCTCCTTTATGCCCGTTGCTGGTTTCTGATCCTGTTCGATTCTCCAGGGGATGCGGGTGCAGAGCCCCTTCAGCTGGCTGCACCGTTCACATCCCTCTGTCCTGGCCTCCTGCCTGGCACCCTGAGGCTCTCTCCCCACCTCACCTTGTAGATTCTCTGACTGGAGGATGGGATCTGAAAGTTACATGGCACAGGGTAGGGTGCAAGAATCTGTTGAGCAGATGCGAGTATTGCAGTTCAAGGTACCATTTGCATATATGTTCACAGAAAAGGTAATTAAAATACGGTTGTGATTATAAGGTAGAGATCCCTCATACTGTTTTGTAATATGTTGCATGTAGACTGCTGCTTTTTGGTTGACAGCATGATTTCTTGATTTTCTGATAGTTAATATTTTCTTATAGTTAATAGTTTGAGGCTAGAGAAGATCAACTGATACCACTTTAGAGGCAAGTACCAGCCAACTTTCATTGCAATTGTGTCATGATCCAAGAGCAGGCTCTGGTTTCGATAATTTTTATACCAGCATGTTTTGGGACTGAGTATTCCTGGACTTGCTGAAATACTGTAGTGCTGCACAAGTTGCTGGGCTTGGCAACTATTTTGTTTTTCTTAATGAAAAGACAACTCCTACAATTTGTTTCCAAGCGAGAATCTGCCTCAGTGACAATTGGGTTTGTTTGCTATTTTTGTTGGGGGGGGGTTTTTTAAGATGTAAATCTACAAAATTTTGAAATATGGGAATTTGAGTGAAAGAGGCTGTAAGCTGGTTATAATTACATAATATTAATTTTAATAATTTTTGACATCTTTTTGTTGCTTATGAGGATGTATATGACTGTTGGAAGCATACGTACAAGTCTGAGTTTTCTAACCAAGACAGCACTTTCTTCATTATTTTTAATGTTTTTATAGTAAGAAATGTATTGTTTGTTTGTTAAATGTTATTAGTGTAGGAAAGTCAGATTCAAAGTAGACTTTAAAACTTTTTAGGCTTTCTGAAAAAGGGTAAGCATCATAAAAGTCTATAAAAGACAGCAGATGACATGTCCAGTAGGCAACTACAATCACATCTAGCATCTCAGCAAGTGGAGTGACATCTGATTTATTCTTTCTTCACCTAGTAAGGGTACACTTGCTCAGGTTTTAGGAGAGTACAAATCATGCAATTGAAAGTGCAGCTTTTCTTATCCTGACAGTCAAAATCCCATTATTTTGTGTTTTGCGAATTACCTAATTGACTTATTATATAACACTTTGCTTTTTAACATTTTATTGGAGATGCACAGCATCATTTAAACAAACATTTGTGTGAATGAGGCATCCAGAGATGGATGAATGTCTGCAAATCATCTGCTAAAACTCAGCTTCCTGGTTTCCAGTACTGAATTTTGAACAAAGTTTTCAAAGTATGATTTTTCTTATGTTTTGATGTAGGTGAAGCTTACTGTGGAGTTACTGGTCTATCTTTGGGGGCTTTTTTCTGTGACTGAAAACAGTAACTTACAACCATATTGTCCCAAAGATGAAGCCTGCAAACTGCATGATTTTTACAGGACCTAGGGCAAAGTAAGAAGATGAAACAAGTGCTGCAGAGTGTCTGGATTAAAATGCCCCAAATGTTTGCCACGATAAATAACAGTGGAAGAAAACTACTCTCATTCTTAAGAGTATGGACTGGTTCTTTGTAGGCTCATCCTGCAGGTCTGCCCGTAGGGATAGACTTGTTCCTTCCATCAGCAGGGCCCCTACAGAGAGCTAGGTTACTTGTGCAATTTGCTAAACTAAGGCAAAAAGCGCTGGTCCAAATAAATGACTCTGCTTTTTATGTAATACTGCTTACTAAAATGGAAGTTTTAATAGCATCATTAGTAAGAGCCACTGACACTATTTTTACATAAAAATTGAAACTGTTGCTACAAATAAAATGGACCTTAGTAACTCTTAACATTCCTAATTTTTTTTCTGAAGAAGCAAAGCCAGGTTTAAAGGTGAAGGAAAGAAAGGGTCTCTTTTTAACTGTTGCAAGTGAACCTGTTTTGGGAATGTAAACAAGATACAAGAGTGGAGAGAAGCTGCTGCTGAACTGCAGTTTTCCACTCTTTGTGCCCACTGTGCAATCAAATTGTGAAGTTTGTGACTTTTCTCTCACAGTGCAGGTTTCAGTTGCAAAAAACTTAATGCTTTATAAAATGCAAATCAATACTCATGTAACAAGATCTTTAAATATCAGTTCAGAGCAACAGCTTTAGTTACTAATTAAGCCCTGTCCTGTTTTCCCCCCCAGCCATCAGCCTGCCACTTGCTGTGATTCTTGATTATCCCACCCCTTTTAAGCGTGTTTGGGAGTGACTATAGAGGAATTATATTTCTGTCATCCCTAATACTGACTCAGTGGTTAATTCCGGCTTTACACTTCTGTAAGAATCCCTATCTGCACTCTGCCAGGATTCCCTTTGGGATTCCTCCCTGATTCAGGCTTTGATGCAATGACCATCCCTGTTGGGACTTCATTGGCCAGAGACTGCTGTAATGTGAACACATGCCAGTTACGCTTCTGCTGTGCCTGGCACGTGAAGACTACATGTCTCACTGTCTGCAAATACTGGGTAATCTGCTTGCCTGTTTCAGTGAGCCGCAAAAGGTTCCTGCCTATTTGGTAATTTGTCGGAAATAATGTGTAAAAGGAGTTGTGTGTTTCACTTCCCATGTGTGCTGAAGTCTTTCATGTGTATGCTGGGATCTTGTACAAGAGTTAAATGAATCGCTACAGTATTGGCTGAAGTGTGAAATACTGTGAATGAAGAAATTGCCAAAATCATTCCTGGTACCATACAGCATATTGCTTGCATTCAGCATATTGCTTGCCTTTACCTTTAAATTACGGGAATCACTCTTAGCAGTGAGCTTAAGTTGAATAGGACAGTATATCAAAATACCTGCAAAGAAATCTTAATGATAACACAAGGCAGCTCACTAAAATTCTTGAGACTGTGTATGATTTTGTTCTGGAATGCTGATGTTAGTAGCTTAGCCATGACTTGTCCCAAGTGCAATATTAGGAATTTTTAATGTAATCTTTTCTACTTGAATACAGTCTATATAAAATGTTAAATGTCCTATATTCCTTAAAAGATATGGGATCAAATTTCTTTCCAATAAATCTTCAGTTTAAAAACAAAAATACAAGTCTGCTTTGTTGTCATACATACTGTGAAGACTTAATTGAAATTGCAACCACCATCATCTATTAGCTGATTTTTGAAGAGAATTCTTGCAGTCTGTTTTCTGAGAATTGACGTGAGGTTAGTTGTGGTTGCTGCTGTTTGAGTCCAGCACTTCATAAAT